TTACTGGAAACAAAAATGTAAACATTGTCTTGTGAAGTTTCCAGTGTTTACGTATATAGTACACACAAAAACCAAAATATACAAGAGGAACCAACAATTCCAAAGCAACTGCTAAAAACATAAAGTACAAAAAAATAGATATATGCAAATGAATTACTAAAAGATGCTCAAATAATTGAAATAAAGGCAGGAAAGGGAGAACAGAGAAACGCACCACACACAAAAGTACAAACTAAATAATAAAATGATACATATAAAACCAACTTTTCAGGTTTCTATAACAAAATATTCTAAACCGTGTGGCTTATAAATAACAATCAATTATTTCTCACTGCTTTAGAGACTAGCAAGTCCAAGATCAAGGCATCAGAAGATTTGGTGTCTGGTGAGAGCATATGTCTTAGTTCATTTAGCATTGCTGTAACAGAATACCTGAGTTAGGGTAATTTATACAGAAGAGAGGTTTATTTGGCTCAATTCTGGTAGCTAAGAAGTCCAAGACTGGGCAGTTGCATCTAGTGAGGAAGTTAGGCTGTCTCCACTCATGACAGAAAGGGGAGCAGCCATGTGCAAAGAGATCACATGAGTGACAGGAGGAAGCAAGACTCTTTTCAACAACTCATTCTAGTGGGAACAAATCTAGTCCTTAAAAAGCCAGAACTGACTAACTGCTTCCAGAAGGCATTCAACTTTTCATCAGGGATCCACTTTGATGATACAAACACCTCCCATAAGGGCCCACCTCACTACTACATTAGGGATCAAATTTCCATAAGTTTTGACTGGGACAAACCCTATCCAAGCCATAGCCACCTCCTTCCTCATAGATGATGCCTTCTGTGCCTTCACATGGTAAGAGAAGTAAGAGGTCTCTCAGGGCCCCTTTTGTAAGGGCACTAATCTCATTCATGTGGGCTCTGCACTTATGACATAATCTCCTCCCAAAGGCCTTACCTCCTAATAACATCACCTTGGAAGTTCGGATTTGAACACAAGAATTCTGGGTACTTAGATTATAGCACTAAATTTGCCAAAGATTACATTAAATGTAAATGGCTTAAACATGCCAATGAAGACAGAGGTTGTCAGAATGGATTTTTTTTTTCTTTTAAAACCTTTATATGGAGAGGAGCAAAAAAATCTGGAATTTATTTATTTTAAAAATGTGTATTTATTCTTACATGTTTAAACTTCAGTCACCTTCAGAGTACTCTCTGTTTAATGCAATACACCTATCAAGATGTTTTTTCCACTGCTCAAAACAGTTTTTGAACTCGTCAATTTTAATGTCTCTTAGTGCTTCTGATGTCTTTTGTTTCACCTCTTCCACATCATAAAACGTTTCCCTTTGAAGACTTTTTTCATCCAGGGAAACAAACAAACAAAAAAAGGCACTCGGGGCAAGATCAAAGATCAGGTGAAGAGGGAGGGTGGGGCATGGGGGTCATGCCATTTTTTATCAAAAACTGCTGAACACATAGCAAGGTGTGAGCAGGTGCACTCGTAAATCACTCATCATGAAATGCACAAACACACTGAAAGAATCTCCAAACAAAAATCAGTAAAGTCGAATGTAGCCTCTCACAACAACACTAGCTGGTACACTGAAGCCAGTGGGTTCCTAGAATACTTACCTAGTGAGGGAAACCTGTGCTATGAGGGGTCAATCTCACCCTTCAAAAACTAGTGTTTTTTGGTTCCCCCATCATATATATATATTTATATATATATAATATATATAAATATATATATATAATATATATAAATATATATATAATATATAAAAATATATATATATAATATATATAAATATATATATATAATATATATAAATATATATATATAATATATATAAATATATATATATTTCTTTTTTTTGGAATTGGAGTCTTACTCTGTCACCCAGGCTGGAGTGCAGTGGCACATTCCCAGCCACCGCAGCCTCAACCTGCTGGGTTCAGGTGATCCTTCTGCCTCAGCCTTCCAAGTAACTGGAACTACAGGTATGCACTACCATGCCCGGCTAATTTTTTGATTTATTGTAGAGATGAGGTCTTGCCAAGTTGCCCAGGTTTGTCTCGAACCCGCGGGTTCAGGCATTCCTCTCACCTCAGCCTCCCAAAGTGCTGGGATTATAGGCACGAGCCATCACACCCAGTCATGGCTACATATTAGTGTCAGCTGAACTTGAATATTCATTAAAATGTATGCACAATAAAAATGGAATTTTATCTGTGATGAGGTAAGTCACTGTGTAAATTACTTTCTCTCTAGCTATAGAATCATTTTTATTTAAATATCTTTTTAATGTCTGTTTAGGGCAGCTCTGCCGTGGACTAGATCCACTCAAATGGCTCCACATGTTGACTATTCAACCGCAGTTTGCCCTTCTTCCTTGTTAACAGAGCTATGGTTTTGTCCAGCCCCTAGATAACAATCACTTCTTTATGCCAGTTAAGGACCTACAGATGCACACATGACTCCCTTTTGGCCAATAACATGTAAGAATTCCATTGGGGACATCCAGGATATAAATACATTTTCTTTCTGAGACGAGAGAGCAAATCCTTATTAATGTATTTGTTTGTTTGTTTATTAGCTGCAGATACTCCCCTACTTTATGTTTTGAATTCTGTTATGCAAGAAAAAGGAAAAGATACTTAGAGCTGTGGTAACTACTGCTACCATGAAGTAAGACAAGTATGGCGAGGAGAAGTATAAAGGAGTCAGATGCCTACTCTACACTGAACTTCTTGTCAAGTAAACAAGAAATATGCTAAGTGTTTAAACCATTGTTGGTTACACATTCTGTTACTTGTAATCAAAACTACTATTAAATGACAATTGAGCAAAAAGAGTCTGGTCTTTGTCAGCAAAGAATGCCCTATCTACAATTCTGTCCTTTCATCATTCTGTTAGGGTCATTGACCTTTTCCCCCTTTCCCAGCCATTTAATTTGGAGAATACATGCCTGGAGACAGTGAAAGTATAGTACAGTAAGAGGCATATTAATTTATTGCAGAACCAATAATACTATACGGTTTGGGATTCATGATTCAAACAGTCAGCAAATATTCATTGAGCACTTATTATATGCTAACCTCTGCATTAGTTATTAAAGGTTAAAAAAAAGAATGAGAATACAAGTTCTGTATTTCAAGTGAGGGGTTGATGAACAATATGGAAATAAATATGTAAGGTCAGGTTGTGTTATAAATAAAAGTAGGCAGAGCATGTTGGGGGCTATTCTAGACAAATGGTTAGAGAATAACAACTATTTCAGAACGTTATGTAGAGCTGGGTTTGTGGTCTTTTTCACTTTCTGGGAGAGTTAATAAGGAAGCTTTGAACTTGTAAAGCTTATTAGAGTTCCACATTAACAACTGAAATTCAAAGAGGGCAGTAGAGCAAGCTTTACTTCAGAACCCTTAAAAAAAAAAAAAAAAAAAAGGTATACCAAGAAGAAAAAATTTAAATATTATTAGCGTGTTAGGAAATGATGTCCAGATAGTGACAGTTATGGTCGATGGTAAAATAAAATAAATTTGGAATGAAGAAGTGGAGGATTAAAGAAGAAAATAAAAGAGGACAAGCAAGAGGAGCTGTGGGCGTGGGGAACAAGTCATCAAGGCAACTAGAAATTCATGTGGATATGATACTGAGGTCAGGAAATACTTCGGGGCGCGGCAGAAACTTGGGTGGTAGATGTTACTTAAAAACCATCTGATTCATGACCTTATTTACAGCAGGAAGAACTATCCCCACAGCGAGACTGCGGAGCCTGGAAGCAAAAGCCCTTGGGGATTGTATCAGGTTTAGAACCACAGCCTTCATTTTTCTTGTCTGTGCTTCTTACCTAGGCTGCGAATTCTGAAACCGGAGGAGGCGTGGTTCAGGCATTTGCAGGTTAGTAGACTCCAAGTTGTCTTTTAAAGTTCCGATGCGGCGAGCCCCCAAGGTTTCACAAGGAAACACTGCCGACTTCCATTTTCCGGGGCATCTATTTCCTCTCGAATCTTGTAGATGCGATCCTAAACACAAGCCAATTACAGCCACAACCTCAAGTGCGAACCCAGTGACTCCAGCAAACAGTATCACACTGCTAGAAACCCCGCCCCCGTCAGTAACTATAGGAACAGCTGACACGCCGCGAGCCGGAGATACTCTGTTCCGCCCCCTCCCAGACAGATATTGTTTCCCACTGTCTGTCCACATGGGCGCACCGCCTCGCTATTGGTCCGTGCCCCAGGACTGTGCCTTGCTCCAGCCAATAAACGGCCTGTGCACGTGCACGCTTGCGTCTCCCTATTGGCTAACACTCCCTGATCACGCTCTGCCTTCCTGCGCCAGCCCTCGCGTGGGAGCGCCAATAAACTGACTCAGTGGCCAATGACAACGAATCAGCGAGAAGCAGGGCGCACAGCTGGCCTATGGGCGGCCGCCGGGGGTGGGCTGTCCCGGCCCCTTTCCAGTCACAGCTGGGTTTGTTAAAGAGACAGGCCCCACGGAGAGCTGGTGCCTCACCTGGTACCGCAAAGCGGCCCGGCGGCCCCTGGCGTGCGGCGGGCGCTTGTGACAGCGGCGCCGCTGTGCTCGCGACCCCGGCTCTGGGCCTCTGCCGGCCTCCG